TAAAAATATATTTGTATTTATTAAAAAACTGTTGATGTGAGCTAAATGATTTCTGTGTACCACTGCACATGCGGTGTGTACACACTAGTGAGGATTGCCTTGATACTGACTGACAGGCTCTAAGCAGTTTTCCATACCTTGTCCTTTAGTCTCCTCTTCAGCCTTTCCTTCGACGACTGCAGTAAGCTGATTTTGGGCTGATCCGAGTGGCTCTCACTAGCCTTTCCACTTCCTGGTGATTTGGGAGATTCCTTATTAAATGTCAGATCCATGAGAGCTTTTATCTTGGGTGTTGACTCAGATTTGGGTGATTCATTGGGAGTCCCGCTGCTGCAGTCTTGAGGCAGTCTGATTTCTTTGTCGGCGGGTTTTACATTCTCAGTCTGTCTGTCTTTGGTTGTTCTTGCTGACACTCCTTTGTCACCTACAGAGTTTGTCTGTCTGTGCCCCTGAACTTTCTGATTGTGGTGCCAACGCCGGTTCTGGCTGTATCCATGGTGTGGGGGTCCTCCTTGGCGCTGCCCATGTCCTCCTTGGTACTGGTTAGGTGGCCGGCCAGCACTGCTATTTCTGTTATCTCCCAGTTCTGTTAAATTCTGCTGCTGTTGGTTTGGAGACTGCTGTTGGGTTTGATCTCTCTGGTTCTGCAGTGACTGTTGCAGTATCTGCTGAGCCAGGTTCTTTGGTCCACTGGCACCACCTCCTCCCTGAGGCCGTTGCTGTCTCCTGGAATGAGAGCAGGTTTCACTTAGCTTCACCGTGATGCGAACACCAGGTTTCACTTAGCTTCACCGTGATGCAAACACCTTGAACCCCTTGCTTCAACCCCTTGTGTCACACTAAGACCGTGATGGCCTAAAACCTCTTCTCAGCCCCTCCTCAAATCTCCTTTGAACTTGTTACTTGCATAAAATGCTCTTTTCTGTTCATTTGACTCTGTATGATGTCACAGTTGACTCACCAGTTGTCTTCTGTAAATATTACTGTGACATCTACTGATGTAGTCTTTAATCAACTATAAAAGCAAAAGCCCAGTGCCTGCTTACATGCGGCTGCACAGTGTGTCTGCTTTTTCCTGTTCTGCATAGCTCTATCCTTTTGCTGCAGTGGTCCTGGACTAGACAAGCCACTGACATATGGTCCAGAGGATTAGTTGCCCTGACACCGAGGAGGCAACCCATTATCTGTCTCAGCCCTGTGAGGAAACACACACTCAACAGGCAACAGCTAGCACACCTTTGCTCAGATACAGCCAACACAGTGCTTTTCACACCATGAAATACACTGAGCTACCAGTTTATTAGGTACACCTCACTAAAACTATTGTCTACAGCAACAGTCTTTCAATAAAGCCTGCTTTCATGAAGGTCACTGTATTAAACAGAAATGCATTTCTGTTATTCAGCCCATGCCCTCAATAGAGTCTGCAATAATGCAATACAAACCAAAGCCTCCAAAATGACACCAACGTTGAATCAAGCTCTTTGGTTACTGTGAAGCTGCTAAAAAAGCCACAGCATGTGATACTAACCATCCAAAACTGCAGAAATAAATTCAGCTTTTATGTCTGAAATCAGTAGCCAGCTACAGCATTTGTCTGAATTTTAGTAATTCTAGTACCTAGTTATGTTTAATGTTGACCTTTGTCTGCCTCTGCTACAAATATTAGTTTATTAGTCAATTAACTACAAACTGATCTGCAACTATTCTGATAATCGAAAAACTGGCATATTGGAAGCAAACACATTTTCTGTTTCTGACTTTTTTAAAATATGAGAATTTGATGCTTTTCTTTCTGTGATAGTAAATTGAAGAGCAAAACAAGAAACACATAACCTTAGATGGTGGGAAATTATCATGGAGATGAATCTTTTTTAACTTTTTGGCATTTTATTTAAACAAATTAGTGCATTAATTAAAACAGATTTAAAAACAAGTAGCATATTAATACGAAAATAATCTTAAGCCACAGCCCTGCATGTACACAGACACACAAACTAGTTTCTTGGTACTGTGCACCACTATTAAATCCCCAGAGGATGAGACTGACAATTTAGTAAAACATCTAAAAGCATATTTTTAAGTCCTAAAATAATTAAATTAGCTTGGCATATAGCACACAATCATATTGGGTGTGTACATAAACAGTTTGCAGGGTTAGCTACAATCATGATGCTTCTGAGGCCTGAAAAATCATTGTTTACATACGTACTTGGTGACAAAACAGTGGGGTCAAACACACCAGAGCTCCTTGCAATCTACCTCGTGCTTTTCTCGCTCTTTGAATACTTAAAAACAAGGATTCTTTGTCAGACAGACAATACAAACACTAAAATTAATAAAAATAAACGCAAAGGACTTGTGGCATCATTGAGCTGTGTAAGCCATGTAGGAGATTGGAATTGATCAGGACTGAAAAACAATTTTCCTAAAAGCATGCACGAGTTCATCAGTGCCAAAACTAACGTGGGTTTTATCATTACAACATTTTGTTGTGTAAGTTAGCAAACATTCAATACCTTTTATTAAGACCAAAACAAGACAAATGAATGAACAAGCCAGACATTTTTGAGGCTGCGGAACAAAAGGGCATGAACTGTCTTACCTTGTCAAAAAGCATTTTGATAGCAAACCTCCTTTTGTACAAAAGCTCATTCCACACAAAATATCAGAACATAAGAAAAACCTTGGAAATGTTCTTTGAGCTTAAAACATGAGCGGCATGGTGTAGGTCCTTTTGTTTCCTCATTACCTGGGCACCAACAAATGAATCGTTAAGTATGGCAATCAAATATTTTGGCACTTTCAAGAGTAGGGACTAACTTCATGAAAAATGTCTGCAGCAAAATGGCAACAAGCCTGGGTGAGATGGACACAACTGTACAAGCTGTCAACGTCCATGTACAGGAACAACTCTTACAGTAAGCTGACCTATTGCCCAGCTGATTAGTCCGCTGACAGAAAATGAAGTGGTAACTAATTTTAACTATTTAAAAGGCTAAATTGATGCTTATTTTTCTAGTAAAAATGTCACACACTTGATGGTTCCAGGTTTGCAAACATGACGATTTGCTGGCTCTGTTTTTCTAACATTATAGCAAACTGAGCCTGTCTCTCTTTTGGACATCGACAATGTAGTGTGTGTTTTCACTGACTAAATAAGTGTGTGTGTGTGTGTGTGTTAATTTGGTACATTTTGCCCGGCCTCCCTGCTCCACTCTCTTGGGGAGGTTAGAAAACAGTTCATCCTCTGACTGTCTCCTCCACCGTGACTTGAACACTAAGAAAAATGTGGAGTATATTTGCAAAGATAATTCCACATCAGCCTGATACACCTTCCTGTCACATGGCTAAGCCCTACACGTTGCAGTATATCCTCCCATCAGCTTCCTCCCAGGTCTCTCTTTTCTTTTTAACAGCAAACCTTTAATTACTACACCGCTGCCTATCATGGTTTTGAAGCCAGTTTTAAAAGTTATAAAATACAATCTAACAGCTTAACATTGACAGGAATTTTCATTTTGTCTCATTTAATATGACTAGTAGCGAGTGAGATTTCTCAAACTTTTGCAAAGCTGTAGATGGCTCAGAGACACCCTCCCTCTTTCTGAAGCACACACATTCTGATGATTAACCTGATCTCTACAGTGGCTGTTAGTTTAGGCTCAGCCTTATCCTGATCTACTGCTGATGCCCAGAGGTGAAAGTGAGACAGTAATAGAATGTTAATAATATTTAATGACCGTTTGCTTGGGTGTTGCTCAGATGGACCATCCATCAGTCACATTACTGCCAGGGAGATGTTTGCATTAAGGATAAATGATGGGGCTGCTGATGTAATTTCATCTCACAATATTTGGTTACTCAGATTTGTCCCCGGTGTGATTAACCATGTAATCAAATGAAAACCTTTTTTCCCCTCCTGGTTGAGATGATGAGTCTGTTTAAAGTAAGGTATTAATCAAATTATTGTTTGTTGCCTGGTTAGGTCTTTCCTTTTTCAAACAGTTTTGTTTAATTCCATCTATTTTTTTTTAATATTTTAAACCACTGGAGTGTTTGATGGGGGGAAAAAAGAGAGAAACATTTTATTCTTGTCTTATCAATTATTGACTGACCTTTGGATGCTGAGGCTTTGTTAAGGACAACAAATCGAATGTAATTTACAGTGTGTCAAATTTTGAGAATGTATTCAGGTCCTGTTCTATGCTCAGGATCTGGCTTATTGTGTCACTGACCTGGCTGAGACTTGCCGCTTTCCCTCAGGGCCATTAGGCAGATGTACGGTTAACTGGCCTCGGGTGAACTGTTCAACCACTCTACAAGCAGGAGAGGACAGTGTGCCACAATGCAAGTGATTGAAAGGACGGCGGAGGATGAGGAAGAGATGAGGAGTGGAGTAAAGTAGCAGAACAATTTGTGGAAAACAGAAGGAAAATTTTTTAGATTGCGTGAAAGAGAAGACGAGATTATAGGAGATATGGAAGGGGGCAAGCAAGAGGGGGAAACAAAAAAAAAAAAAACCTAAATGTTGATTATTACACTCAGTGAGCTGTTTATTCAGTAAAGCAAGCTAAAACTAATGCAAGCCAACAAATCTCTGAACAAAAGCCATCATTAGGGATGATCTTGCAGGACTACTGTATTAGACTGTATTTATTTTGGCTTGGTGTACCTAATAAACTGGCAACTGAGTGTTTGATATTCAAACAACAAGCATACAAGCACAGGAAGTGAAGAATGCTATGGGAACTAAAAAGATGAAATGAACTGGCAGATATGATCATAGGAGGAGGTGGGATACTGATGATCGATCATGTGTATGTGGATTGAGAACTTGTGGACCCATTGGGTTTGACCCAGACTAGAGAATCGATCGGCCCGAGGGGGCGGCCTGCATGCCAGACAGTCAATAACCTGGCCAAAGCCTCATACAGGCCACAGCACACTCATTTAATGGACTGTGGGCGGGTTTTGACTGAGTATCTACATTATTCTTCGCAGTTTTTTTTTTTTTATGTCTTAAAATTCTAAATCAAAAGTCAGCATGACAGTCAACATGTTGGTCACTGTGGAAGATAAAAGCTGAAAAGCAGGTGGTTCATAGTGGGTGCTTAAAAAACAAGCAGACCAGGAGCCAGATGTACAAAACTGTGTGCACTCACGTACGTGCACTTTCCCACAAATAAACCTGCATTTATGAAATAAGAATGTGCTTCAGACCAGGAGACAGCTTCAGGTGATATGACAAGGAGGAGATGGAGGAACATAATTTGACTGGTGTTATTTTTGCCGTCTGTAGCAGTACATTTCAAAGGCTTGTTGATAAACCTAATATCAAACAATTGTGCATAAGTTCATCTACTTTTGAGCCATCGTTTCTTGTTAATGTTTACATTTTATCAACTGTGAAGCACATTGTATAGTCTGTTTCCTTATGAGCCATGCATTCACAAAGCATGCATATGTCTGTCTCTGTGTGTGTGCATCTACACAGTTTTATGCATCTTACTCATGCTGTTTACTTTTCAGGTGCATAAATGCAGGCAGCGTATCATCTTGATCACAGAATAGATCATGTACGTGGTTTCATGTGGTGACATTTAGTGCTGGACAAATCCTTTTAAGATTTAAATGTACTTCAACACTTTTTTTTTTTTTTACTTTATAACTGTGTGGAACGTGGATGGACTTGAGGAGGAAGACGGCGTTTGGCGTTGAATCGTCTTTCTTCAGATGAAAAGTGCACTTCTTAGAAGTCATAATAAAGTCTAGATGTGTAAAAGCCCCTCAATAATTAACATAGTCTTTTAGAAAGAGAAACCAGGGATGAAGAGCAAACATATTAGTTCCTTCTCTTACCCCTTTTGTGTTTGGAGCAGCACATTCCAGTAAATCACAACTAATTTCAGCCCTGCTTGACGTGCCTACTAAAGTAGAAACACATGTGCTACCTCCCCTTTCTTTTCCTTCCTGCCACAGCCAGCCTACGCTTTTCCTTTTCTCAATCTCACAGTCTCACTCTGTCTTGTGCTTTATTCAATACAACCCTCAACTCTCATGCCTTGCACATATAGTCAAGGATCAATTTTTTTTCAAAATTTCATCAACTGCCTCCAACAAGATGGACTTTTTCTTTTCTTTCACCCAGCTGTGTTTACAGTGCAGCACAAAATATAACACAAGTACAACATTATACTGTATGTGTGGTTTCTCATTACAGTGGAAATGTATTGCACCAGGCTGCTGGGTGTGTTGTGACAATACCAATGTAAGAGGATTAGCGTGTTTTATAGACAAACATGAAGTTAATGTATGTGATGAATGACCACATTAAGCTTTATGAAGGACAGTTTGGAGTAATGACAGTTGTGGAGGCCATTTTCTGTGTGAATTCTCTTAACACAATAATGTATTTTCACTCGTATACAGAGCCTTTTATACCCAATCCAACCTTGGCCAGACTGAGTGGCCATGTTGACTGATTCACATCACATTTATATTATTCTTGGGTCTTTGCTAGTGTATAAAAAGCCTTCCTAACTACCTGCTGTGACAGCATTCAGCCCTCCCTTACTAACTTTTCAACATGTGGAAAAAATGTTTTAATTAACACCCACATTATAGTCTTTCTCAGGTTGTATGCTACACCATAACAGCCGCATAGGAGATGAATACTAATACAGTACTATTGCTAGTTCCACAATGTAGCCTGGTGAGACATCTGTAGCAGGTACCCACCAATCAAGTAGGTAGAAAGTAAATTTCATGATACACAGAAATGTGCACACACCAGACATGTACGTATACACACAAAGACACACACGTAAATCTTGGCATTTAGTTAGTGCACAAATATAAGCTGTAATGTACTGACAAAGTGTGACTGGAAGCAGAATGTACAAGAAAACAGGATGGTCTCTTTATAACATTTCCAGTTCACAAAACAAATGGGCTGAATGAAACCTAAGCAAAATGCTTTTGGTTCATTTCGACATTTTTCTGTTCTTTTCTGTGCCCATTGCATGTAAATACAATAGCTCTGGCCAGAACCATTTATTCTCTGCGCTTAAAAACAAGAATGAAAGTGCTTTTGTCCATTTGGTATAGCTAAAATTTCCTCCTTTTAACCACAAATACAACCCAAATATTTTCTCTTTTCCTGTCTCTTAGCAACTGAAGAACAGTTTCCCAGTGACATCAGGGCAGGGAGTGAGAGAACGAGAGAGCGAGTTTTTTTTAAAAAAAAACTTTTAAGGACCTGGTTTCAATGAAAGTCAGACTTGGGTGAAATTAGATTTCAGTAGTACAATTAGAGCAAGTGTACCAGTACAAAGTGTGGTGAGTTTGGACTTTTGAGACAGAAGGACCGGTTAAATGCTGCAGAAGCAAGAAAAATAAACGAAAAGAATGAAAGCTTGAGCACTGTAGGCAAATATGGATGACTGAATAACTGGCTTAACTTTTGCCGAGTGACCTATTAAACATGGAAAAACCTTGAATTGTTTCCTCAGTATTTTTTCCTCTCTGAAATGAGGTGTGAAGCCTGTATTTCTGCTTTGACTGGGGAGAGATGTTGAGGCTTTGGGCTGGCTGTGCACTGACATATGTAATCAATGCAAAACAAACATTCTCTCTCATTGAGGTAGCTGTATGTGTCCTGTGCCTGTGTGTGTGTGTGTGCAGGCTTGCATACGTCATTACCGTCTGTCATTCCTCCTGCGTCGGAAGA